CGGCAAAAAAACGGCGACTGGAAACGGCAACGAAAACGGCTCCAGGATCGGTCAAAAAACGGCGACGGAACCGGTAAAACAACGGCGTTGGAACCGGCAAAAAAACGGCAAAACGGAACCGGTTAAAAAACGGCCCTGTCGTTTCCAGGGCCCACTAAGGCCACGGGCTCTCACTTCACCCCCAAAGGCTCCAGCCCTGCAGGACGGATAAGTCTACGGAGTGAGGTCGTTCTCATCCTCTCTTCCGCAGCCGCGGCCGTTTGAGTCAGGATGACGTGGGGCGAGAGAGCATCAGGTCACAGCGGCTCTCCCTGGGCCCACTCTCCCACGTTAGCAGCCGCTGAGGTTTGATGTCGTTGTCTGTGTGTATAGGTATATATGTACAGATATTATAAGTTTTGATCGCTCTCTCTTTTTTTGTCTCTCTCCCTCTCTCTCTCTCTTTCTGTCGCCCTTTCTCTTTCCACCCGTATAAACGGTACACATGTTCACGTCTCCAAATCTGCAGATATCTATACTTCTCCCCCTCTCTTTTCCAACCTCCCTCTCCCACCGTCTCCTTCCTTCCATCCCTCCCTCTCTCCCTCTCTCTCTCTCTCTCCCTCCCTTTCTTTTTAAAACAATTGTTTTTCTTCTCTCTCTCTCTCTCCTTCCTTCCCTGTTTTTTTTTGTTCTCTCTCTCTCTCTGTCAATATCTCTTCCATTGTTTGTTTCGTTTCTCTCTCTCTCTCTCTTTCTCTGTCTCTCTCTCTCTCTTGTTCTATAGATCTGTTCCCCAAGCAGTGTTTGCACTTAAGGGTTCTTTCTTGTGAGATGAGGAGCTGGCCCTGCTAGCCGGTCTGGCGGCCATGTTGCCGCCGTCGCCGCCCTGTCACCGCCTGGTCGCCGCCCGCCGTCTGGGCCTGACTGTCGGTTTGGCGGCTATGTTGCCGCCGTCGCCGCCCCCGTCGCCGCCTCGTCGCCGCCCGTCGCCTGAGCCTGGCGGTCGGTTTGGTGGCTATGTTGCTGCCGTCCTGTCGCCGCCTCATCGCCGCCACATCGTTTACACCACCTAGATTACACAACATAGACATCACAACATTATATCTATATCTCTATGTATATGTAGATATTGCACAGCATATGTTGCACACTTAAGTTCTCATTTCTAAGACAGTATCAGGATCCCCCCCCCGGGGTTAACGGGCCATTTTTTCCTTTTGCAATTTACACATGATTCTGCCCCATGGTCCATCCTGACAGTGAATTCAGACCATCCCAGCCAGGCCGGTCTGGCCCCTCTTCATCCTCTGCAACAAATAGTCTGCGCGCGCACTCGTCTATCAACAATCATCAATGTCCAAGAGTTCTTCGCAAAAATTGGACGACGTGCGCACGCGCGCGTCGTCGCGCGCGCATGCCGGAATCCTTCAAACACCTCCAGGTTTCGTAAGGATTTCAAAAACGAGTGTTCCGAAAACCGGAAACATATCAAAACACATGGTCTTGCAACATCAGTTTAAAAGAAAAAAGCCTGCGCTCGCGGTCTTGCGGATTCTTACCAAACGGGCCTTTCGTGCCACATGCCGATTTCATTCGAATGCCCTGACGCGCGTGCAAATATTACCACGCTGGCCACTCGCGCGCGACGGCCGCGTGCGCATGTTGAATTCGTTTAAAATCTGGATCGCCGACGCGAGGACATCGTCATCGTGATCGGCTGGCGCGATCAACATCGGCGCCGTCATTGGCCTTGCTGTCGTCATCGCCACTATCGTCACCTTCATGGCTATTCTCATTTGAGGGAGTTTCTGTGGAACTACCGTCATCCTCACCCCTGGCGCGGGGAGCAGAGGAGCCCAGAGCGCGGCCTCCGGCACCGTTTCTGGACAGATCCGGTGGATCCGCCGACGAATCCCAAACCGGCGCCCTCGTTTGAGACATCCTCACAAAACCGGCCCCGGGGGAGGTGCCCAGAGGAGCCCAGAGCGGCCTCCGGCACCGTTTCCGGACAGATCCGCTGGATCCGGTGACGAATCCCAAACCGGCGCCCTCGCTTGAGACATCCTCACAAAACCGGCCCCGGGGGCGGTGCCCAGAGGAGCCCAGAGCGGCCTCCGGCACCGTTTCCGGACAGATCCGCTGGATCCGCCGACGAATCCCAAACCGGCGCCCTCGCTTGAGACATCCTCACAAAACCGGCCCCGGGGGAGGTGCCCAGAGGAGCCCAGAGCGGCCTCCGGCACCGTTTCCGGACAGATCCGGTGGATCCGGACGAATCCCAAACCGGCGGGGGAGGTGCCCAGAGGAGCCCAGAGCGGCCTCCGGCACCGTTTCCGGACAGATCCGGTGGATCCGGTGGATCCGACGAATCCCAAACCGGCGCCCTCGCTTGAGACATCCTCACAAAACCGGCCCCGGGGGAGGTGCCCAGAGGAGCCCAGAGCGGCCTCCGGCACCGTTTCCGGACAGATCCGCTGGATCCGGTGGATCCGACGAATCCCAAACCGGCGCCCTCGCTTGAGACATCCTCACAAAACCGGCCCCGGGGGAGGTGCCCAGAGGAGCCCAGAGCGGCCTCCGGCACCGTTTCCGGACAGATCCGGTGGATCCGGTGGATCCGCCGACGAATCCCAAACCGGCGCCCTCGCTTGAGACATCCTCACAAAACCGGCCCCGGGGGAGGTGCCCAGAGGAGCCCAGAGCGGCCTCCGGCACCGTTTCCGGACAGATCCGGATCAGGATCCGCCGACGAATCCCAAACCGGCGCCCTCGCTTGAGACATCCTCACAAAACCGGCCCCGGGGGAGGTGCCCAGAGGAGCCCAGAGCGGCCTCCGGCACCGTTTCCGGACAGATCCGGTGGATCCGCCGACGAATCCCAAACCGGCGCCCTCGCTTGAGACATCCTCACAAAACCGGCCCCGGGGGAGGTGCCCAGAGGAGCCCAGAGCGGCCTCCGGCACCGTTTCCGGACAGATCCGGTGGATCCGCTGGATCCGATCCGACGAATCCCAAACCGGCGCCCTCGCTTGAGACATCCTCACAAAACCGGCCCCGGGGGAGGTGCCCAGAGGAGCCCAGAGCGGCCTCCGGCACCGTTTCTGGACAGATCCGGACAGATCCGGTGGATCCGCGCCCCGGGGGAGGTGCCCAGAGGAGGAATGAGAAGGAGGAGGAGGAGGAGGAGGAGGAGGAGGAGGAGGAGGAGGAGGAGGAGAAGATGATGGAGCTGTGGGGTGGAGGAGGACAGACGGAGGCAAGAGAAGGATGGAGGAGAAGGAGGAGGAGGAGGAGGAGGAGGAGGAGGAGGAGGAGGAGGAGGAACCTCATCCTCACCCTCGCCAACAAGCGCACGCACCTTCTTCTATATACAGAAACTCCCGATCAACCGCAGAGCGGCCGGCTAGTAATCGTGTCTACCGTTGTGGGCGTCGCCTTGACCGCGCCCGCCCACATCACCGACTCGCACTGAAGTGCCCGTTGGGAGGTGCCCAGCGGTCAGCGCCACCGCGGCCGCGTCGGTCGCGCCAAATTAACTGGCCGCTGTGCGCGCGAGCATGCGCGGGCTAGCGCGGCCGCAGAGATGCACCAGCCAACGCTAAACACTCATCGCAATCGCCGCCGCATGAGTTTTGCAGAACAAGTTGCGGGTTGGTGGGTGGGATGTTTGCAAGAGCATGGGATGTGTCAACACGTTTATAGCATCTACTTGCACCACCCAGATTGCACCACATCCATTGCACGGCATCTAGTGCACCACGCATAAATGCATTACACCTATTGTGTAACACGTATTGCATAACATAGAGTGCACCACGCAGATTGCACCACGTATGTCTGTCCGCATAGAATGTACACCACATCCTTCATCACGTCGCGTGCACAACATATGTTGCTTCACATAACTGGCTCACATCGGTTGCGAAACACATATTGCACCACAGGTTGCTCCACATAGACTGATCACATACGCTGCTAGAAATCGACTGTTTGGGCCCATACTGGCTAACATGTTCATACGTCTGTGTATGTATGTACGTATGCGTTTACGTAGGTCGGTAGATAAGGAGGTAGGTGCGTGCGTACGTATGTATGTCAGTATAGCTCTCTGTCTATCTGTCAGTCGGTCTGGCTGACTGGCTGGCTGGCTGTATGTATGTAGGTGTATGTACGTATGTGTGTATGTATGCATGTATGTATGTCCGTGTGTGTATGTATGTATGTATGTATGTATGTATGTATGTATGTATGTATGTATGTATGTATGTATGTATGTATGTATGTGTGTCTGTCTGTCTGTCTGTCTGTCTGTCTGTCTGTCTGTCTGTCTGTCTGTCTGTCTGTCTGTCTGTCTGTATGTATGTATGTATGTATGTATGTATGTATGTATATATGTATGTATGTATGTGTGTATGTATGTACGTATGTATGTAGGTATGTATGTACGTATGTGTTTATCTCTCTCTCTCTCGCTCTGATTCTTTCTCTCCCTGCCTCTCTCTTTCTCTCTCCCTCTCTCTCTCTGGGCCTCCAAGGTCGATCCTCACAGGAATATCGGACCCCGCCCTCCAGAGCGGGTCGCGAGCCCCTAATTGTCCGCCGCCGCAGGCTACGCTGATCAACATCCTCAGGTCGAAGCTGCCAGGCCACGGGGCTCGCCGACCCTCTTGTGTTATGCTTTTCCTCTCCCCGTCGCTACCACCCCTTGACGCGTACACACCATATGAGTGCTGTTCTCCTATCTCGTGTGACTCTGCCTGGGACCGCGTATTTACTTTATGCATGGTTTCGAATTTCATGGTTTGCTACGGTCGTTTGCAAACTCGATTGTTCTGCGTTCTTCAATATTGGTGTTCCCGCTGCAGCGTGGGCCTCAGTGTTCGCATCGGCGCTTTGCTCCCTTTGTTCCGAATGGCGCCGCCGATCTCGCCCCCAGCGGGGGCCATTTTTTTGTGGATCCGAGTTTTTTTTTTTACCGTTGTCGCCCCCCTCATTTCCCCTCCTCCGCCGTCCCCTGGTCCTCCTGATCCTCCCGCTCCTTCCACTCCACTTCCTGCTGCAGCTGTTCGTCCTCGTCCTCCTTCCTCCTCCTCCTCCTCCTCCTCCTCCTCCTTCTCTTCCTCCTGCTCGTCCTCCTGCTCATCCGCCACCTCCTCCTCCGATGTACGCAGCTCCCTGTTTTCCGATGGCATAACATGATTGGGGCCCTCTGTGGAGTCCCCGGCCCGCGATGACGCACGTCGGCAGATAGAGGAAATGAGCGCAATTGGAAGGACTGGGTGGGAGGGGTCGGGTGCCAGATGTGGCGCGAGCGCACCTCGCTGACCCCCCCCCTCTCCCCCTTCCCCCCCTCTCTCCCGTCGGCCCTCCCTCGCTTCCCTCAGGGCCCGACACGCCGCCCTCGGAAGTCGTCCCGAGCAGCTCGCCCCGGCACATTCGTTGCAGCTCGCGGGTGAAGCCTTCTGGCCTGCCGCGCGGCCCGTGCGACCCCCGCGTGGCGCAGGGCCCCGCGCCGTCTCTAAAAGGGGGGGGGGGGGCAATGCGTCGAGGGGCAGCGGCGCAGGCCCAGCCCCTTCACAGATTTTTCGGAGCACGTCGTTGCCGGTCGAGGGGGGTGGCGGGCAGCGTGGCACGCTGAGAGCCAGGCCCGTCCGCGGCGTGTCCGGGGCATTGCAGGGTTCGAAGGCGAACGGGCGCCTCTCCTCCTCCTCCTCCTCCTCCTCCTCCTCCTTTTCCTCCTCCTCCTCCTTTTCCTCCTCCTCCTCCTCCTCTTCTCCGCCTCCTCCGCCTCCTACTCCTTTTCCTCCTCCTGATCCTTCTCCCAGTGCCATCTCGGTGGGCTGTTCGCAGAGCTGGCTGCCCGACGTCGCGCGGGTCCTGGTGGTCCCGCGGCCGTCAGGATCAGCGTTCCTTCTGGCCCTGTGCTTCGGCACGCCATGCGTTGCTCCAAGACGGCCTGTAAGACGGCCCCCTCAGAGGCCCCCCAAAAGGCTTGCGGGAAGCCCCCAGCAGGCCCCAGGAGGCCATACACCTGCCGCCTGCGTGTAAGGGGGCCGCCCTCGATCTGCTCGGAACCCAGTGGCCCCCGTATCGTGATTAGGACCAGCTCATGTTTTTTAATTTGCAGACGAGCGCAGGACGATCGTTTGCGATGCGGGTGCGCTGGCCCCGCACAGTGAAACGGGGAGCTGACAGAACATCCTATGCGCACTCGTGATAGGCGGGTCCAAAGGGGGGCGGCCCTGAAAGTCCACACGCAGGGCAACCGATGGGTGGGACTGCGTTTTTGTCAGCCAAGCTCCAGTGCTGTCGTGTCACAGGACCCGATGGGCGAGACACTGCGAGGCGGCCGAACCCCGCCTCCTGCCGGTGACGGCCATCCCTCCGCGGCCATATCACAGGACACCGTGGGTGGGACCCGATGCGCGGGGCCCGTGGGTGACGGCCGAACCTCCGCCCCCATGGCGCGGGACTCTACTCGGGCCCGTGGGGGGGGGGCGCCCATCGGCGGCAGCTGGACTTCCGCCCCCGTGCCACGGGGTCGTGGGTAGGGGCCAGGGTTAAGTCGGGCCTGACCCTCTACAGGAGGAGTACTCAGAAATAGTAAAAAAATAGTATGGGGATTATTTTCTTAAGTATTTTGGATATATATATATATATATATATATATATATATATATATGTGTATGTGTGTGTGTGTGTGCCTATTTTGCATTTTTTCTGCCAACATCCCCCTTTAGGAGGACAGGCCCGACCTAAAGCCAGGGGCGGGGCCTTGCGGGCGGGTCCTCGCCGGAGGCAGCCGCGCCGCCGCCCCCACCTCACGCCACGGCCTCGGGCAGCCAAAGGCGCCGAAGCAGGGACCCTTTTGGGGATCGTCGGGCTCGGATTCCTGGGGCGGCTCCTCCGATCCAGGTCGGGGAGCCCCTTCGACTCCCAGTTTTTCCCGACTCCAGCGTCCATCTCTCCGACTCCGGCGCCCATCTCTCCGACGCCGGCTCCCAAGTTTCCGACTCCGGCGCCCTTCTCTCCGACTCCAGCTCCCAACTTTCCGACTCCAGCGTCCATCTCTCCGACTCCAGCTCCGACTCGTCTTCTGAGGGGCCCCCGCCCCCCCGCGCTGCCCTCATAGGGCCAGTCCCGCTGGACCGACATCGCGCGCTCGCCTCGCCTCGCCTCGGGGAGCCCCTTCGCAGCCGAGGCCCGCCGTGGCCGGTCGAGCTCCCTCGTTCCCGAGGCGGGGCTCTCTTGGGACAGCGCGGCGGCTGCAGTTTTGTGGAAGGCGATTACTAATGGAGAGGGAGCAGGCTGCCAAATACATTCCAGATGTCTAAACAATGTTTCAAGCATGGTTCAAATATGTAAAAGCATGTTTGAAACATTTGTCGAACATGTTTTCACATTTTAAGCACATCTTTCATTCAATGAAAGGATTGTTAGAGTGTTCATTGTCATGGCATCCACAAGCGTAGTTGGCCGGGCCCTTCGGGCAATGGCCGCGCCCCCGCCCCGAAGTCACGGCGCGGCGATCCGTGGGCGGAGCCCTTGGGAGGGGGCCCTTTTGCGGTGACGGTCGTACGCCCATCCCTCATGTCGCGGGACTCTTCAGCGGAACCTCGCGCGCCCCACGAGCGGAACCGTGGTGGAGGGACCCACCACTCCTGTCGCACTGGATGGGCCTGGTCGAGAGCGTATTTGGCCGAGTTGCTGTGGGGAGGGTGAGAGGGACGCGGTCCCGAGTATTTCAGAGGTCCTGGGTGGTCTGAGGGAAAGGGGAACGGCAGGACGGTGAGAGAAGGGTGCGCAACAGTGCTCGTCGATGCAGTTCCACCGCGCATTCTTAGCAAACGCGTGATCCTCAAACGGGCAGTAGGTGAGGCAGTTCCCGTAGTGGCGCGAATCTACAAACTTACGGGACGACGGACCGGGGACGGGGGGAGAGGGAGTCCCTTGATAATCAGTTGAGCCACGGGAAGCGCCAGCGCACTCGACACTGATAATCTCACTTGGGAGATGTGAAAGTGTCGTTGTTTCCATTACACTTCCCTGGGCTTTTCTTGCGAGTGATGGGATCATCGGGTCGGAATCAGGGTTCTGGTCTGTCGCTATCCGAGTCCAGTGAGGTTCTGTGGGGCAGGGCCCGCCCTGACGCATCTGCGCTGCCCCGCTACTCTTCTCCCCCGATCTTCCCTCCCATTCTCGGGCCGGACGAAAAGGGGGGATTGGGAAAGGGGGGGTTACGAAATTTGCTGCATGCAGCTGGTTTCGGCCCCGCCGCCGGGCCCATTCCTCGATACTTGGGCGCCTCCCGGCGCCGGGAGGCGCCGGGAAAATCAGCTACGCGAGCTGATTCTCAAACCCCCCCTTTGCTATCCCCCCCTTTTCGCCCGACCCGATATTCTGGGTCCTCTGCTGTGCGACCTCGCACCGGCCGGCTCGAGGAACGGAGCGCTGAGGCATCGTCTCTTTGGCCAGCGGCGAAGGACCCGTGCGCGACGCGATAACGGGCATCCCGGGTGTTTCGCGCTCTTCTCGAGGGCCAGCAAGGAGACGACCTCTCAGTTCTTGGAGCCACCCGTTTTCCGGTGTCGACCGGCAGCCTCTGGGGATGCCTCGGCGAGTCTCCGTTCGAGTCGCCGGGGCGCGCCCATGACTTCGTGGATGCTTCGGACCTGTTCGGTGGCATCCATGCCTGGAGGTTGGTGGTGCCACGTGGCCGTGGCAACTAGCAGTCGCACGGATGTGGATCAAAGTCAGAGGAGCATTTTCAACCGTCATTCCAGAGAAGCCCCGACAGAGCCATCGAGGACAAGGAATATCTGAATCCAGTTGGGTTTACCACGCGGGAGAAGCCAACTGGCAGCTTGCAAGCGCCGAGCGGTCCTCAGGGCCCATATTCCGCTTGATCAGGGTCAGCAGTCTTCCACCGTCGGCGCCGCTCTCGACAGGAGCGCGAGATTCCAGCCCATGGCGTGACAAGTGTCGGACCCGTGGGCCGAGCCGAGAAACTTTGGACATCCGGCGGTTACGATCCCGTTTGCCGACCTGTCGTGCCAAGATGTTCTTATCTTGTCCCCGGCGTGCCGTCCATGACGAGCTTCGTGGCGGATCTAGGGACGCTTGCAAGAGCCGTCAGCTCCCCTCCTGAACTGGTGCCTGCGGCACCTCGTGCTTGCTCTTGCAGGTCGCCTGCGCTCTGAGACTCTAGGACGCGCTTGTCCCGAGCCAAGCCAGTTTCGATTGCTTCCCTTTGATCCCATCCCTTTCTCCTTGTCTGCCTTACCCCCCTGCTTCGCTGGTCCTCCCCTTCATAATATAACACATGACGATCTCAAGCTGTTCTAGCTTGCACTCGGGGGGTCTTACTTGCGTTGACCATCCCGGGACCCTCCCCGCGAAATCGCCGCCGTGCCGTCCGTCTCCGTCCGTCCCCGCCTGTCGCCGTCGCCGCCCGTCGCCGCCATCCCCGCCCGTCGCTGCCCGTCGTCCGTCGCCGCCATCCCCGCCCGTCGCCGCCCGTGCCGCCCGTTGCTGCCCGTCGCCGCCCATCGCCGTCGCCGCATGCATACACTGCATCGCATATATTGCAACACATAGGTTGCATCGCATACATTGCGCCCCATCAATTGCACCGCATGGATTGCATTACACATGTTGCATCGCATATATCTATATGTATGTATATGGCATATATAGTACATATATAGTTCCACACAACTATTGCACGACATAGGTTGCATCGCATACATTGCATCACATAGACTGCACCACATGTTTTGCACAGTATGGATTGCACGACAGAGGTTGCATCGCATACATTGCACCACATCGATTGCACCGCATGTACTGCATTACGTATGTTACATCGCATATGTTGCACCACACACATATTGCATTACATAGGTTGCATCGCATACATTGCACCATAAATGTATGTATATGTATTGCATCGTATAGGCTGCGCTTCATAGGTTGCAACGCGTACATCGCACCACATATATTGCACAGTATATATTGTATAACATTATTTGCATCGCATACATGGCATTACATCGATTGCACCGCATAGTTTGCATTCCATAGGTTGCATCGCGTACATTGCCTCACAACAAATGCACCGCGTATACTGCATTACATAAATTGCATCGCATAAATAGCACCACATATATTGCACCGCATAGTTTGCATAACATCGGTTGCATCGCATATACTGCACCACAAACATTGAACCGCATATATTGCATTACGTATGTTGCACTGCATATATTGCACCACGTGGGTTGCACCGCATAGATTGCAAGAACCTGCTGTTTGAGGTCACGCTGTCTAGCATTTTCCATGCGTTCTGGGTGAGCTTTAGACGATCACGTCGCCTCGTCAGACTGGCCCTCCCTCCTGCCAGTACGCGCGCGCAGCAGCCACGAAGGGAGGGAAAAGGAAGGTACAGCCTGACTGCGCCGCTCCCCTTCGAGGAGCCGGCTCTGGACACGAGAGAAGCTGGTGCCGAAACAAAGGAGTCCCCTGCCCGCCAGCCCCTGCCCTTCGCTCTCCAGCCTCTCCACCCCGTCGTCGGCACGCATTCGCTCATGCGGCCGCCCGCGTCTCGCGTGCGCCTGCTGGCTCCTTCGGGGCAGGCCGGCCGCTGTCCGAAGCCCTGGGGGACGCGAAGCTTCTCGCGGAGGCGGCTGTCGAGGCCAGGCAGGCGCTGAAGCAGATGGCCTTTTTGGAGGCGTTCCATGCGTTCAGGGCCAGGAGACGGCCGGGATTGCAACGATGGCTGCCCCCCTTGCCGTGGCGCGCGACGAGAGCCCCACAGGAGCCCCTCTGTGCGCAGGCGTGTCGGAGTAGAAGTCTTCCGGCTGATCCGGGGCGAGCAGTTATGCGTCGTGTGGGTTGGAGGTTGGTCGGGAGGGGAAAACACACAGACACAAATAAACGTCGATCTCCGGGAAGATATGGAACATGTGGGAAGTGGAGGGGAAAACGAAAATCGAGAAATTGTAGCTCAAATGCGGGATCCTTGGGTTTGTGTCTATTTTCTGACTGTGCCCCTTCCGCTGGAGCCCGGGGCACCGAGCCTGCGGCGGGGTTTGCCGGGAACCCGTTTGGCAGTATCGTCAGGTCCAGGTTGCAGAGAAAGTTCGCTGCCAACAGGCATCGGCAGTTACGGCGGGCTTTCGGTTTCGAGCCCAGGGCGGCTTCTCGCTTTCGGTCTCGAGCCCAGGGTGGCCTCTCACTCCAGTTCCCGTCTGCGGTGGAACCGTCACTCATGCTTCGGAGGGTCGCGTAAGCATAGCATATACGTAGGAGGCGTGTGTTCGAGGCGAATTTTGGATCTTGCGCACATGTAGCGAACGCAGAGGGGTGGATCAGCCCCGACCCAGGACTGATGCGAATCCTTCGAAAGCAGAGAAAAGTTTATTCGCCCCACTAGAAGACCGCAGCAGCTGCCATTGGCTGCGCCATGGGCTGCGACATAGGCTGCGCCAGACACTCCGCGTTCCACCGAGTTGCGGCTTCCCCGCTCTGCACACCATCCATGGGTTGCGCCAGACACCCTGCGTTCCACCGAATCGCGGCTTTCCCACCGATTGGTTACGCCACGCATCCCGCGTGCTGTCAACTCCTCCCAGAGGCTGCGCCGGAGCCTGCCCGCCCAGATGCATTCCCGAGAGAGCCCCGGGGCCCGAACGCGGCCCCGCAGAGGCCCGGAACGCAGGAGCAGGCCACGACCGGGCGCAGCAGGCCATCCGCTGGAGGTCCTCGGGCCACGGGGCGCCCCGAGGCTGAGGTGCCGGCGGGCGGGCGGGCCGCAGCTGCCGCCGATTGCGGCCCCTGCCGAGGAAGGCCAGGCTCGGGGAGTGCAAGGCCCCGGCGCCGGCGGCGCCGCCCAGCGCCGAGCCCGACGACGCGGACGACGGCGAGGAGCGGGGGCCGAGCCAGGGGGGGAGGGGGCAGGTCTGCGCGCCGGTGGCCCGGGCCTGGCCGGTGGCCGAAGCTCCGAAGGGGGAGACGAGATGTTAGAGATGTCCGCGTCGTGAGAAAGAAGACGACGGCAGCTTTCTGGCCGGTTTCGGCCTCCGGGGGCCCTCGTCAGGGCCCAGGACATTACCAGCCTCGAACGTATCCCTATCCCTAAGGTTGACACGCCCAAAGGCGATGACAATCTTAGGGATCCGCCCTCAAAAATAAGGGAATCCCTAAGATTGGCATCGTGATGAGGAGGTGCCCAGCATAGGGATAGGGATAGGGATATGTTCCAGGCTGGTATGGACAGTCAGTAAAACGAAACGGGATGAAAAACGGGCCCCTCCGGAAAGGGTGGGGTCTTCGGGGGCCCTGCGCTGAAGCACCAAGGGCATCGGATGCCTGGGCACCGACGCCGCTGCCCGCCCCCAGTCGCCAAGGCTGGATGCGCCTCGAGATCCTGGCCGGAGCAGCGCGCCCCAGGAGGTATGTGTGTTCCGCTTGCTTCGGCCGGGGCGTGGTGCCAGTTCGAGTGCCCTGGCCCTGGCTCGA